GCGCCAGCAAAACTGTAACAAAACAATGTAGAATTATACCATTTATAGTTTTGTAGAAATGGTATCATTTCTATAAACGTAAATAAAATCACGACCCATATCTCCAGCACGTAACTTTGTTAGCCCAATATCTCGCTATTACAGCTGTAACAAAACTGTAACAAAACAATGTAGAATTATACCATTTATAGTTTTGTAGAAATGGTATCATTTCTATAAACGTAAATAAAATCACGACCTATATCTCCAGCACGTAACTTTGTTAGCCCAATATTTCGCTATTACAGCTGTAACAAAACAATGTAGAATTATACCATTTATAGTTTTGTAGAAATGGTATCATTTCTATAAACGTAAATAAAATCACGACCTATATCTCCAGCACGTAACTTTGTTAGCCCAATATTTCGCTATTACAGCTTCACCAGGAGCTATCGATATCCTACAAGTTCAATAATCCAGTGGATGAAGCTGTAATAACGAAATATTGAGTTAATAAAGTTACATGATGGAGATATAAGTCGTGATTTTATTTACGTTTACAGAAACATCTCATAATAAACTCCAGTTTGTGTTAAACAAAGTTAACAATATAAATAGTATCACTTTAAAGTGAAAAGGGTCTGCGGTCATAGCATCCAAAAACCCGCAACGTCCAAGATCGTAACATTTTATTGTAGCTGTTGTTTTGATTATGTCTGATGGACAGCATATCCCCGATGATTTTGGCTGCTTTGACCGCATACATTTTCAGTTTTGTATAAATGATATAATTTTACAGTTTCTCTGGCGCGATCATGTATTTGTTGGTGCGTATATCCATAATAACAATGTTATATGTTTATATAACTATCTCGCCATGCCTGTGTAGTGCTGAGTAATCGCCTGTACGCCTTTGATGTAATACAGATAATTGTGAAACACACACACAAGCTTTTAAGTGTCTGTTTCTCAATTCTTCAGCCTCTTGAAATACTGGACATAATATTCATTTATTCCTCAATGTGTTTTAAAGCTTAACTACATGTTCTGTGACGCCATCTGTACGCAAGAATTAGAAGATTGAAGCAGCGTAAAAACCAAGTACGTATACTTGTGTGAAATAAACCTCTCTGCACTTTAACTTGGCAGAGTTACAAGCACACTACCGTGTGACGTAAATACTCCATCAAGAAAATGCACGAGGAATCAGAGCATGTAAATGAAAACAATTAACGATACACTGAAAAATTGATTATGCAATCTAATAAAAAAAAAAAGAAGAACAGAACAAAACAAAATCTTGAAAACAAAAACTAATGTAAGACACGCTTAAGTATTTATTTACTAGTTTTGAGAAGTCTTAGTTTAGAAAATAAATGCAACAAA